CAATCATCATTCTTCAATTTAGCTCTGATTAATTGATATAAATTACCTGCAAAGTGACTTGCTGCATCAGGAAAACCTTTAAATAACATTTGCTGATGTGAGATTTTAAACAATTAGCAGTTTTCTCATTAAATTTTCAGTAATGAAATAACAATCTCACCTTGCGATGTTGGCTTTTGACCTTAGACAATCTAAACAGGTTTCATCTGCATCAACTCCATGGCATGTGCAGGCCTCAATGAAAATATGTATTTAATTAAAATTTATTTCTTAGGTAATTTAATGCATTTTACCAATGGATATAAACATTCAATTCAACAAAATAAAATCATTGATAGCTGTTTATCACTACGGCCATGTAGTACCTCAAATTTGGCTTGATACCATTCTACTTTCAGAAAACTGAACTGATCATAAGTTGATGGAATAATTAAAAGCAAGGAAAATATCAAGAGAACTAATTACCCTTATTGCATCACAAAATGCACAAAATTCCACACTATATCCTTTCTCGCCAAGAAGGAAGGAGCAAGGCCTTGTAATCAAGAGTCACAGCAGAAACAGGAAATTTAAGAAAACAATTACAGAATATACCTTGATGTTCATAACACGAGACTTAACAGATAATAAAAAAATTGGGTCTCAGGAAAACTCACTTCTCCACATGATTTAACTTAATTTAAACAATGACTCAGTGTTATTGTGCGATGAAGTAATACTAGGCTCTTTATGGAATGTTTTCTTTTCCTTTTTTCAATGAGTAACTCTGAATGTTCAATTCAACAGAAAGTTTTAGCTGCTTTACTTAATTAATTCCAAACTTTGTCATTTTGCAGTTTACTTTTCCCCTTAGCTTTCTATCTCTCCAATTAAAAGTCATGTGTAAAATAAATGTTGTACTTTTGCCATCAACCCATATTCCATGTTTTTTGATGACATCTTTCTGATTATTGAAATTCTCAAGTAACTTTCTTGCGTAGCTTTAAATTTGACCAGATAAAAAAGGAGAAAAAAATTAAAAGAGAACACTTGCAAAAGCACCTTCATTAATGCAATCCCACTTATCTGACTATTCTACTATTTACAGCAAAAATGATGGCAATAATGTAAGTACACTGAGATCTTACTTTGAAGAGCCTTTAAAATTATTCAAAGTCTTCTCTTCAAAACCAGTAACATGCACTATTGTCTGCATGCACCAGCTTGTGATCCAATACACATTTTTAAACTGATTAGAAATGAGGTTATAATTTTTGTTCACTGATTGTTTGAACTGACTTACTTAAATCACTGCTTACCTTTTCTCTTTACAGTTCCCAATTGCAAGGGGGTAAATAGACAGTGCACTCTCAAAGCTTTTGTTTTTAAAATCAATAGGTGCCAGGCCTACAGCTGCTTGGTCTTTACCTAAAGTAAACCAATACAAAGACACCTTTACTTAATCTGGCAGGGATTACAGTTTCATACTCAAGACTAACAAGTCTAAAAAAATCTACTCAAATGAGAACACACCTCCAAGAGGGCGTCCATCGAGTTTAATGTTAAACTCTTTGTCTTCTGAGTTGTATGAATGGAGGCGTTGCTCCCTAATTGCCCAGACAAGAACAGAATTTAGATGCACATTCCAAGCATCAAAACTGAATCCTTGACCCTGGAAATCCTGAATGTTTTCTACACTGCAGAGAAGACTAGCTTCTTCAATGCTTTTATCTCATTTTTTGTGAGCAGTACAGGTGTGTCCTCAGTTCTCTGTAGAAAAAAAATCAACCGAAAACAGGTTTAGATCAACTGTCACTTTATAAATATTAAAAAGGTTGACATCAGTTATGTTCAGAAATACATTTCAAAACAACCCACTAGGAGAAGTCTCAATAATTGCTTTATATATCGTGTTCAGATTTTCAAGCCGTGAAACTGAATAAACAAATGTAATTCTCCCCTCAGAAGGAATAATTTGAAAACTGGATACCTTACCTAAGGTGTAAGATGTAATTTAACTCATAAAAAAATCAATATGTTGTACGTCTCACCACGATGCACAAAATCATCCTCAAATAATGACTCCTCATGAAATTTGAAATAGAACTCTTATGAATTTTGTTAAATACAACCTTACCTGAGGTTTACATTGCTGGTAAGAAAAAGGATCACATGACCGACAGCTCATCGCTGTAGAAACAAAGCAATGAGAATAAAATAAATAACAAAATACTTAAATTAAATGAATGCAAAAACCTCTATGGTTAGAAACTCACCCCACTCTTTCCTTTGCGAGTGTTTGTGGTGAAAGAAGCTCGGTCAGACCATTCCTCGAACCCTTTGATTTTGTAATAATTAGATCAAGGACTTCTGAGATAATACCCTGTACTTTTTCCTCTTTCCCATCCGTTCCGTACAAGAAGCTGTTTCCGAGGACGGCAGCGATGGACTCATTGTACCTCTCAGAAACGTCATCAAGGACAGCTGTTATCTTCCTGTACCTTTTAAGGACTTGTCGTTTCCTGCTTATTGTTCCTAAATCAGGTCGGTTCTTTGTGTCATCGATTGAAGTACACGAGGAACTGGACGAACTTAATGGAGTAGATGAGCAACATGGGGAATTAGGAAGGGAAGAGTCGTCTAAACTTGCCTCCATGCTCGATTCAAGATGGGAAATCCGTGCTAGAAGTTCCTTCACTTCCACTTCAAGGGAATTTACTCTCGCTGATCTTTCGGCAAGCAAGGAAACGAGCTCCTCGGAGTCTTGACTGATTTTGGCGCCAAAAGATAAATTTTTCGCGCCCTCGGACTCAAAGTCCAATGTGGTGGAGTTCACCAGATTTACGATAACCATAAATCCCGCAAAATTAATAAGTTCGTCGGGAATTTTTTTATTGCGAAGAAGACCAGTAACTAGACCGAACGTGGACTCAACGTGAACGACGTCGGGAATCCTGTCCATCTCCAGAACTCCAAACGATGATTTGGCGGGCTGAAGTTCCCGCGCGGCGACACTTTGGATTTCGTCGGGAAATATCTTAAATACATCGCGTATGAAAAATTACGCAGAGGGACGCCACATACCTCTTTCAAAAGTAGATACCAATGCTTGGAAGGGTCAAGTATGGCACTTGTAACCTTGTAAAAACTCTGAGCGGAAAAGTCAACCGGGGCCAAGGCGCACGTCGACAATCCGACTGCCTCCATGACTTCACTTCCAATGATTTAGAAATCGAAAACATGATGCTTTTCGATTTTGAAAATTTCGCCGAGGATTAATATTATAATATTAGTAAGAGTTTAACCAGGATAGGTGACTTAGTCGTGAGATCGCCACGTCTTGTACGAAAACAATAACTTTGTAATGATCGGAAAGCGTGAACATTGATCGATGCACCAAGTGGCGTGAAAATAACGTTTGTTGCTGTTATGTGGCAAACTAAGCGAAAGAATACATAAATAATTGAAACAGAGACTTTTATAAATACGGCGCCCAGCAGGCATTGCCTCTTCTGTGAAAAGGGAAGGTCTTTAAAAGACTACATGATTAGAAACGTCATAATAATGAGGAAAACGGCAGTATCAGAAAGAACGTAGTTTTTTTATTGAGCATTACGCATAGCAAATTTCCTAATGTTTCATTACTTCGATTTTCATTGTTAATAAATGACCCCATGTTAACTCGCACGTAATCGCGTATCTCTCGCGGATTCGTGGGCGCCAAGTCTAGGTAATTACATTGTGGTGTAATTTATGTGATGACTCCTTCTTCCCCAACCCTCGGCATCAGTTTACGATGCCTGCTGCGAACTCTTTTCTTGAGCAAAGCTCGTCATGTGGCAAACTAATTCAAACGATCATGATAGTCTATGGTAGTTTCAACTATCAAAAACGTTTGATCACGAACTATCATGCACTATCCTCAACTATCATCAACGATAATGCAGTTTGGACATGTTCAAATTCAAGATGAAAGTTGATAGTTTCAGCCGTTTGAGCGAGCAGATAATAGTAATTAATAGTTTTTCGGCCAGCAGTTTTGCCAAAAACGGGCTCTAACAGTAAAAAGTAGCTGCCAAATTTTCTCAGAATGTCTCTGTGCATTCTAATCATCTCCTGGCAGGCTTCAGTGTCTTTAACTCGCAACTTCTTAACTTAAATTTGCGCACTATATTTGTCTTCACTTACGCGATCTCATTGCGTGATTTTCTCAACTATCATCAACCATCAAGAACCGTTTAAACGGAGCTTTTGACCTAGAGAGACTGCGTCTTAATCTTTTGCGAATGACTCTGTGCAGTCATTTTTTCTTCAGAGATCACGTCTGTTACCCGATTAATTCGAAGAACAGGCATTCGGTTATATTTACCCCTGGATATGTTGTTTCCATCCAGGAGTATTAAATGCAGGGAAACGCTATGCAAATTCCGTAGCGTTAAAACTTCCATGGCAGTCTGGAAAAACCCTTTAAAATTAGCTATGCTACTTTAGGGAAGGGCATTAGGGAAGGTGAAAAGCATTTTAAACTTTTAGAATGAAATAAAGCATTTTGTTGTTCTCCTTTGTCTTTTATAATTATCATAAAACGTTGTTTTGAAGTTGTCAAGTCAAAGACAAATTGGTAGGCCATAGGTAGGAATGCTGGCCTTTGAATATTTTAGGTTATCATTCTCTCTCGAATCGTCTCTATTGTCATTAAAACCGTCGGTATACGGATATCTAAATTCATCGCCTGCGAGCAGGCACTTATTTTTAGTAGCGCTACAGGCTGCGCGTTTTTCCACCCTTGGAATATTTGAGACGAGTCGAGGAGAGGTTCCACAGGGACGTGGCACTAGTAATCAGTGCTTGACCTATTGCAGACCTCTCGCTGGCTCGCGCTGCTCAAAGCCTCGTAGTTTCCCACGGAAAACTTAAATATCCACACTCCATTCCCAGTAGGTAACTTCAACTTTCATCATAATTATATGCAGCGTCTCTCTTAATTATATGCATTCTTGTCTCACTTCCATTCTCTCGAAATGATAAATTTCCAGTTAGAGTAATTAACGCTTACCAACAATTTTCACTTGAATCTTACGAATCCACGCTCCTTCCACAGTAAGCAACTCACAGCTAAATTCCCCGTTACTTTCATCATATGCAGCAGTCACACTGAAGATAACCAAAGTGAGTCGTTGGGAAATCCAAGTGAAATTGAACTTATCCTCAAAGGCAGGCGCCACCTTTGCACCTGATCCTCCCGGTCCACTTAATGCGAGACTTTCAGCGTTAAACTTTACATTCACCGCAAAAAGAGTCACTGACGTCAAACTGAAGTTCCAGCTTAGAGATGCAGGATATCCTTCAAAAAGCTTTACCTTTGCTGGAGTTGGGTCATCGCCTGCACTCGATACTGTCTTAACCGGTAGAGGTTCATACCATGTGACACTTCCACAGTCTGAAATCGAAGATTATTCACACCTACATTGAGTATTGCTTGAATGGAAAGTTATTTGCTTAAAAGAGAGTGATTCCACCATAAACAGAGGGCTTTTTCACTATCCAGTATAGTTCATCTCCTGCAGCTGCACCAATACTATCTTTAGAGGTAGAGGTTCATTCTATGTAACAATTTCGCCGTTTTAAACTGAATATTTTTGGTCGTTAAAGGAAAGGATCGATCACATGTTATTTGAGCGCAAACTGAAAACAGCTGAATCCAGGTTGTTTTGTTTTTTCAGTCACGTTGCGGAAATGCAAGGGACATATGAGCTAATGCACAATGGCTATCGAACTGAGTGGAAAGCAATTTTGTCTGAAATCATATGCGCGCTTGATGCTTTTCAATTGCGAACGAGCTCGCCGCGTCAGCTTGATTTGAAATCGCAAGTTTCACGTCAGACCAAAATTGCACGACACGAAGTTCAATTGCCATTTTATTATACATTTTTTTGGAATCGCAAAATTCAGTCGCCCAGATACAAATAGTTCCAAAAGTTGTCTTCCATTTTCCTGCAATTTGATTTGTTTCCTAACACAAGCCTTGAAGTATGATTGTTTGCTGTGGTTTAGTAAAGCTGTCTCACTGGCTGGGGAAGAGATACGATCTAGAGCACAAAATGGTGCGATTCGCGAGTAAATCGCACCGATGAGAGCCAATCAGATTGCAAGGATCTCCAGTGATTTCAAAATGTATGTAATAAAAAGTGAAAGTTCTGATAAATTGTTGTTAAAAAGCGACAATGAAAAATCGTATAGATTTATCAATTTGGCACTCAATCAGGCAGACTCAATCAACTGCCCTTTCAGCAGCAGGTTTGCTAAGGTTTCAAGGTTTTCTAAGGTTTTTAAAGCCAGGAGAATTCGGCATTGGTGTTACCAACACCAATGCTAAAAACCCAGTTGGGAATAGACTCTAAATTAGCAGTGACTTTAATCTACCTCGCCATTTTAGTTAAAATATCCTGTTGTAACTTGTTATTGTGCATGCAAGAAGTTCCTAATTTGTAATCAACTTTAAAGATCCTAGATGAATGATTAAACAACAACAAAAGGCTAAGAGAACAACCCTTACCAGGACATGGCCAAAAAATGCTTCTCGTTAAAGACACGTGACCTATCGTTACAATTTCGGGATCATATCAAGCTTAGAGAAGTGATTATACAGCTAACCGTCGTCATTTTTTCGAACACCCGAGTTACAGATACAGCAGAGATCACCGAGATCCCTACATCCCTGCTTAACCTCTTCGAATCATTTGGGGTTACGGCTGCGAAAGATCAATTAATGTTTTGTCCCTTACTACAGAAGATGACCGAAAAAGTTGCGGCCAAGGCCAAAAATCTTTTTGTCCGGATTTTTGTCGAAACTTCTCGAAATAATTTGACATAAGCTAATGATTTCTTCTGTTTACATGTTTAAAGAATAGTTCTGATAAGAATAGCATTGATGGTTTCTGCAGTGGGAGATCTCAATATGGGGAAATTTAGGATTCATCAAGGACCCATTCATGAGTGAGAAAGGCAAACTAAAGCACGCTTTCGAGTTTAGAGAAGAGCATGTACGAGAGTTCTCAATTTTAATCGATTTCTCTGCTGCAATAGCACGACTTGAATATCTTTAATATCCCTATTCAAGCTCTTAGGTTAGTGTTAGGGTTTTAGTTATACCCAAACAAACTCAAGAACATTAAAGATTGATTGTCCGGGAGGTTTAATTATCGAGACATCATTTGGTTGAAGCGCTTTTCATCATGCTTTGATTCTATAACTAGCTGTTGTTTCAAAAATAGCTGAAGTGGAAGAGAAACAACCGCACTTAACGAATGTATTGTAATGATGACCAACAGATCCAACGACCCTCTAGTGAGGAAAAAAGCTTCTCGCGTTGGAGGCAAGTGTTCCTTTCTCATGCTGGACTAGTGTATAGAGAATGTCTGAGTAAACTTAAATTTCTGTTTACTTGACAATGTGAGACAAGAGAAGCAGATCTTGAGTCATATAATCGGAGGCACTGGTGCAGAACGATTGGGTGTCCGTATAATGATTACTCAACGAAAATAACGATATATTTAAATATATCGTTATTTAAATATATCGTTATTTAAATATATCGTTATTTAAATATATCGTTGTTTAAATATATCGTTATTTTATATCATATAAATATATGTAAATAAATATTCTTCTCAGCGATCGTTGTTAATATGATGATCGGCTGCAATTTTAAGACAGCCTCTCTGGCTTCCGACAGCAAACATAATTAATTATAAAGCGTAATGATAGGCGAACTTATGTAAATTTGGACGACAGGCCTCTTGATAGTTTCTGTTTGCGCACACAGCTGAATGCCAAAGCATTCGATAGCTGCAACGGTTCCCGACTACTTTGTTATTTGGTTGCGCCTTATCTCTCGAAAGAGCCGTGATCTTTTAAAAGGCGTCTGTGTCTTTGGATTAGCCATACACTGGATGAGGATCGATCTATCTTTGAACTGACACATCTCTAATTTAGCACTTACACAGTTAACATAATTTAATCTTGTCGGACAGTCACTTACCTGAGTATTGGATCACAGAAAGATAGATCAGGAAATGTGAAACGATAAATAGTCTCATCTCAGCTAAGACAATACCCAATCCGCCTGAAAAGGTAAGGAGTTTCAGTGTCTATGTTGTAAATCCTGTCGCCAAACTTTTATTTCCTCTTTTGTAACAAAGCATAGTTTACGTAACGAGTGCTACCCACAATTCCTTTAGCACTACCTTCTGTTGACTGTTCCAACGATTGATAATCAACTACACCCTGAAGAAGGGCTAACGCTCGAAAGGCATGCTTAGAAACTCTTTACAGTGGTCAATTTATAATTATTTCAAATGATCTTGTGTTACCCTATAATGTGCTCATTGTCTCTGAACTTACTTGATTACCGCTAGGAGGAAGATTTTGGAATCACGAGCTTTCCAGAGTAAACAAGATGAGGTGTTCCGTGCAGCTTAGGAAGCAGATGCCTCTAAAGTATGAGTGTTTAAACGGTTTTACAGTCAAGTCGCCTGAGAGTCATCTCGCCCGAAGTCATGTCGCCCGAAACCTAAGTCATGTTGCCCGAAATTTTAGTTATGTCGCCCGAAAAAAAAGTCAAGTCGTCCGAAGAAACAAATACTAAAAAGATCAGAATTTCAGACTGTTAATAGGCAATAAAGTGGAGAAATTTTTATCACTAAAGCGCTCTTTGTTTCCGACAACACCAGAAGATTCTTAAAGCGTTGTTCGTTCCTAACAACAAAGGGAAACGTTTTTCGTTTCCAACAACAAAATGCAGCGCTGTTCGTTTAGTATGTTATCGTTTCTTACTCACGGACGTTTCGTAAGCTTGAGAAACTTTTTCTTGGTTTCTATCAATACCATGAAGACTTTGACCACACAGAAATCGATCGTATGCTCGGAATTGAAATATGTTTGAGTAACGATTCTAAAAGCGTTGTTCGTTTCTAACAACGAAGGGAAGCGTTCTCCGTTTCTGACAAAAAAATGAAGCGTTGTTCGTTTGGTATGTACTCGTTTCTTACTCACAACAGAGGGAAGCGTTGTTCGTTTCTATAACAACAAATGCACGGATGCAGCGTAAACGAATGTCGATTGTCACGTTCGACAAGTCGGTAAAAGGTAAAGCGAGTAACATACAAATAAAATTAACCTGTTGCCTTGCGTAAGGTAAGTGTGATTTTTTTAAGATAACAGTCTATTGTTTATGCTTGTGACTTTTTTCGGCAGATCTCCGGTGTAATAGCCACAGCTGACGTCATGAATCGCTTACTATCGGATTTCGCATAAATCTAACACTGAGTCACGGTAATTGTGTAGTTCTCGGTAGTTCTCTGGTTCTTGTGGTTCTTGTACTATCTGACTTCACATAATTTAACTCTTAGTAACGGTAATTGTGTATTTCTGGTTCTTGTGGTTCTCGTGGTTTCCTTGGTTTTTTTGGTCCTCGTGGTTCTCGTGGTTCTCGTGGTCCTCGTGGTTCTCTTAGTTCTTCTGGTTCTCTTGGTTTCACGTTTTTTTTTTCATTTCTGGTTCAAGCGGAAGTAAAAAGCCCGATGGTGCGGGCTCACATATACCTTCGCCAGCTGTATTTCCCATTAGTCAGAGATTGATTGTGTCGAACGGTTTGATAAATTCGTAGTTTTATCACAAGAAATGAAGTGTTTTACCAAAGTTGTGTATCTTTTTGTGGCTTTCAACATCTTGGACTGCTCCTACGCTTACAACATGCCAATTTCGGAAGCAAGTTACAGATTTATACAGCTTGTTTTGAGCATTCATTCATCTGAATCGAATGCGAATTTAATATGGTGGCAACATGGTGTGGTTATCGGGAGTGATCAGAGAAGGCCAACATCCAGTAATCCTGAAGATTATGTAGTACGTGATATCATACTATGGGATCCATTTAAAGTGTTTTTTCGAATATTACCTCATGTTATAAACAAGCACAAAATAACACTAGCCCGCAGGGATATATTTGAAAATTTTCTGAGTGCTTATTATTCTCCAGATTGCACAAGAAAATCACCTGAGCCCAGTTGTTCAAAGGCCGATTAGTGCTAGCCCAGGGTTAAATTTTAATGCAGGTTTCTATATTTCTTTTTTCCAAAGCCTTTTAGAGAAAATTTTCCCTATTCTTTTTCGAACATCCATTGATCAAATTACAAGCAAAAAGCTTTGAACTGAATTTACAGCTTTCAGACCTGAAATCAAATTCCATGCTAACCATGGGTTATCTTAACCCAGATTTGAACAACCTGGGCCAGATGATTTGTCAATGATAGGGTGGAACCTTCATTAAGAGGGCACCCCCAGGACTGTGAAGTGTCCCATAAATATACCTGTGTTCCTTGAATAGAGGGTGGGTGGAGTTTTGTTTATAATTAACCACTTGAACAAAAATACCTGTTTTATTCCCTTCAAAGCAGCCATCTATTAAAGCAACCAAAAATGCATGATGTAAGCTTTTGATAGCAACCTTGGACTTTTTTAAATTGTGATTTGACTTGCTACTTGTAGACAACTGCTGCAATAACCTGTCAATAAGTGCAGAATTAATGTACAGTAAAAATACAAAGTATGTTCATATTTATTTTGAAAGGTATGCAGAAACTGGAACAACTCAGTGTCTTTGGTGGCATTTTAATCATTAGCAGCTTAGTAGTTGTCCCCTTAATGGGGGTTGAAACAGCACTTGCAGCACTCAAAGTGTCCCAATCTCCTTATAGAGGTGTGTCTGAGCATTTTACCGGGACCAGGAAAAGCATCTCCTTGTGGAGGTGTGCCATGCCCAAAGTGGAGGTTCCATAGCACACATGATGCACAACATTTTTAAATTCAACTTTGTGTCTATTTCAATTTTTGGCACTCAATTCAAATTTCAGAACTGTTTGGGATTTTTGACATGGTAAAAGTCAATCAGCAGGCATAAATGTTTGTTGACTTAGTGTGGTATACATTATAGTTGTTTATTTTTTCCTTATCAAATTTAAGTATGATAATGCATGATATATCAATATGTTGCAATTTCTATGCAACACAAATTTAAATGTAATTGGAATGATTGTCCTGTAAATGGGCATGCAGGCATATTACGACAGCAATGAATCACTTTTCTGTGTGACTTTTGTATAAAATTCTAAAAATTGAATTAGAATTTCATATTTGCTTTTTCCCTTATGAAATCACTCTATTCAAACATGTCCATAGTTTGAATCAAGGGTATTGTTTCATTGTTTGGTTGTATAATGCATAATACCTGTAGCATTTTAACTGTAACTTAAATAAACATCTTTATCAATTATGCTTGTTTCAATTTTAGCAAAGATTCGATTTAACAACCAGAACTGTATAAATGGGATCTGTAATGAATAACATGTTAAGTGTCAGGTAACTGCATTGTATTATTCAAACATATTTTAAGACTGTAACATTTTATAACAAATATTGTTTTTTTTTTGGTATTCAACTATTTTCTTTTAAGTAAATGTCTCTTTACTTTCTTTCTCTAAAATGTCTCTATTTTTAGGTATTTATAATTTCTCAGTTTCTATTCAAAGGTAGTTTGTAATTTCTTTCAATTAAATGTCTCAATTTACAGGTATTAATATTTTCTCTCAAGTGAATGCGTAGTTCCAGAATATAATTATCTATATCCCCAGCCCGAAAGGTATCTTCCCTATAACCCCACCAACCCTCCAGAAATTCCAATTTAGCTTCATACATTGCTTTGAAATTTTGGGTCTCTCAGACCCTACCCTCTTGTCCTGGAATTTCTAAACCCCATCTGTGGGGGTAGTATGGATATTTTCTAGACCTACACAATGTCTTCCATAATTTCTCTTAAATAAATGTCTATTTAACAGTATTCTCAATTTCCCTCAGATAAATATCAATTGAAAGGTACATGTATTCTCAATTTCTCTCAATTAAATCTCTATTAAAGTTGTTCATAATAATTTCATGTAACAGTATTGTTTTAACATTCTTTTCAGCTAAAGCAGTGGTGGCAATGTTTCTCTCTCTCTAAAGGCATTGAGTCCAGCTTGAAATGGATGACCCTCTGACATTGTGAAGATATTGCTTGCAGCAGTAAGCCTGTCATCATCCCTCGGGAATGTTGTTCTGTAGTCTTGTGCAGAGATGTCATATTTGGTCAGTTTCTGCTGAAGGTCATCAATGGGCAGCATTTTATAAAAAAATTTCAGTTTGTTAATGACTTTAAATATGCCAAGACCAGCAGCTGCCAGATCTTGCATGGACTTTTGGACCAGATTGACATTTGGATGGCAGTGCAAGGAAAAGCTTGTGTTGATGCGGCAGGCAGTTGTGCATGGCCCTTTCATTGTTAAGATTCTAAGGGTAATAACCTCATTTGCCACACCCACGTTTATCACCTTAGCAGAGCCATTAATTTTGCTGGCCTACAATAAAGGTAAATTTAGAAACACTATAAGTTGAAATTATTTTACTTTGAGTTGGAGTTTATATTTTCATGGTCTGGTAAATGGCAAATACCTTTTCTTTCTTAATTCATACGTGTAAATGCACAAGGGCACTCAGGGAGGTTTAAAAAATGAATTTCTTTTTTAAGTTTTGACACCTTGGAGGACTGGGCACACATAAAAATTTCTACAAAAATGGAGTAATTCTGGTCGCATGAATGTTGGCTTCCTTGTTCCATAACCAAGAGTTTGATACAATGTTAGCACAGGAGAAGTTTTCATTCTTATTCTTAAATTGTAAGTACAGTATTGAACTTGCTATTATTGATGTTGTCACAGTTGTAAACCTGGTCCTTTCAAATGCCAAAATTAATACCCCAAAAAATGAGTGTGTGGTTCTAGAAATGTTTCTTCCCCTCCTCCCCAGAAGACTTTTTTGGGTATGAAAACTACTGGAAAGAAAACAGTTTTATAACCGATAAGAGCAAGCAAAGAAACTAGTCATACAAGTACATGTGCAATATTTTACTACTCACAGTGTGCGAAATTCCCTTGTAAATCTCGAGGCTTTGGACAAGAGCGATTGCCATGTTTAGTGTTTCCAAGGCAATTTTATGACTTGTTACCCCTGTCTCCAAATTTATGGCTGTCCTCAGGTGATCATATAGTACATGCATGCTAAGAGCAAGGCGGAGGACGTGTTTGTTTCGCTTAGAATTGTTGCAGTTGGCTTCCTTTCCTTCCTTCCACGCTGGCCCCTTGTGTGCTTGGCAACTTATCTTGAGGCTTAGCGAATCTGAGGAAAGCCTCACGGGCACTTGCACTCAGGGAGTACTTCTGTTGGAACATTGTTATGTTCTACGTAAATTTGCTCAAGCACTATTGAGACTGGATAGGATAATTATCCAGCTCTTCGCAATGCTGGGCCATTACCTCCGAGTCTTTCTCCTCCTTTTTGTGGTAGAAAAGAAGCACTCGCTCGGCCAGGCCATTTTCGGCAGACAACATCTTCGGGCAAACCGTTTCGAGGAACTGCTTTGGGGTAGTGAACGCAAGGAACGAGACTCGTGCCGACGGGACCCCTGTACGCTTACCCTTGTTGCCCTTCAGCACGTACCAGCAATCGCCGTCGTAACACTTGCATAGCCGTTCCATGGTCAGATTCGCTTGAGGACCTTTCGATAAACTCGTAATCCTCGTTAGAAATGAGTGGGCCTCGTCGATACAGATGATAGGGTTGGTATTGCCCGTAGTGAAGTGGTTGAACAGGCCATTACTCGACGCGTCATCGATAACGAAGGTTTTTGTTTATTTTAGGCCCGAAATGTTCCACGATAGGATCGATACATCCTAAATGGCACGCAGGTGTTTTCCCAGAACCTGAAGGGGAGACCACAACAACGAAAAGATTCCCCACTTCTTCATGCGTGGAGAAGACCTGTAGTGAGCTCTTTCCAATCAGCGCGCTAGTTGAAGTCAATACACTCAACAGAACCATCTCCCGAGTTGTTCCATGGCTACGCGCGAGTACGTTAAGCCAGTCTTTCACTGCTGCTGGCACAGTCTCTTTGAAAGGCAGGGATACGTCCGCCAATTTAGCTTCCAAATCGTAAATAGTGCGGAGCTCGCTATTCTCGCTCTCGCCATCTATTGATTGGAGGTTGCTATTGTGCGAGCCTGCGAGCCCAAGCCTTTTTCAACGAGCCGGAGCCATTTTTTGCGAGCCCCGAAAGTTCCCGCCAAAAATATCCAAATATGGACATAATGCCTTTTTATAGTCTTAATTACATGCGGTCTACATGTGTTCTGTAAAGTGCAAACATGACGGATTCTTCTCACCTGGATGGTAAGTTTTCTTTTCATTTAATTTGTTCCACTTAGTGGTTTGTTTTTTATTAAAATTACGTAGATGTTTAAGTACTAATACTGTTTACACATTTTGCTTTGAAAATATCAGGTTTGGGAGGCTTTAATCCTAACGATAGTAAGGTGAGTTTTAGTCTGACTTGTGATGAATTGTGATTTATTTCGATCCTTCCCGTTTTTTGCCTCACTCAGTGCGGCAGTTATTCTTAACCTTGGTATTTCATCGCTTACATTGGTAGAATTCACTATTTCACACGATTAGTTGAAAACAAAAATGAAATGGTAGCATGCCAAGTATCTTCTTACTGTCTGGTTTCGTTACCGCTGAATTAAATCACTTTTGGAGAATTAAAAGTCCAGAAGTTTTTAAAGTTATCTTTTAATACAAGATAGTGGTCTTGTGGTGCATTAGACTGTCCTGACTTTTAAAAGAGGCAGTTTCGCGCTGTTTTACAGAGATACCTTCGGAGATTATAAGCTTACTTGTACACATTCAAAAGGAATTGGGTCTTACACTCTACCCGGAATTCAAGAAAACTTTCAATTGATGAACCGATCGCGATCGTAGTACGAGTGCGATAATAACATGCGCCAAAACATTTTTATTTATGATTAAAAAAAATCTCTGTTAAGAGAGTGTCTCTGTAAGAGCGGTCCGGTCGATTTTGCTTGAGATACGGAT